GCAAGACTTGCATTGGCTACTAAGAAAGTTAGTAGTCGGTGGTCATCGGATTAAAAAGACAATAAAGATTAAAATTAAAGAAATTCATTATAAGTTTAAGAAGTTTAAGTTGATTGGTGTGACAGGAGATTTAGAGAATTATACAAGATCGAGAGAGTTAGTCATACAGAAAATAGAAAATTGAAAAGGGTATATGGAAACAGGTTAGCTGAAAATGTAAGAATTAACAGTAAGGATTTCTTTAAATACATTTAGGGTCAGCAAAATGTTAGGATGAGAGTAGGGCCTTTGGTGAATGATAATAGAACACTCATATCAGAAGTAGGTTATTAACTTACTTTTTCTTTAATTTTTACTAAATAACATTTAAGCTTATTTCTTGTTCTGAATAGTTGGTAGAAAGAAACAAGTTTGAACAAGATAATACATTAATTCTGAGCTTATTAGGAAAAAATTGGTAAATTTAAAGAATGATAAGGTTACTGGACCGGATACCTTGAAGGTGTTAAAAGTAGGTGAAGGCTTGGATATTGATGCTCTTGCTACTATTTTTTGTAAGTTCTTAAATAGTGAGCAGGTGCACTTGAAATTCTTTTAGGCAGGATTAGAGTAAATTAATCTATGAGACCTTGGGCATGATCAAATACATCAATCAAAAGGGTTTCACCTTCTGAGTCAAAACTATAATTATATCTCAAATTGGTCAAGAGATGGAGGAGCTATGAGCTAAAATTTTGTACTTGAAAAACTCAGAACCATTCTATGAGCCACTATGCTATGACTAAAATGTTTTCCCAATAATTATAGGCCTATTAGTCTTACAGTGGTGGTGGGAAAAGGTTTTGAAAGTCAGAAAAATTTGCTTTGCAAAATCATTTAAGAAAATTTTAAATTTTGTTAGATATTCAACATAGTTTCACTAGGGAAAAATCTGGCCTCACTTAATCTTTTGACTTTCTTTGAAGAGGTTACTGCTTATTTAGATGAGAGTAATGGTATGGATTTGGTGTATCTGGATTTTCAGAAAGTATTTGACAATGTGCTCTGTAAAACTTTGTTAAAAAATGATTTCTATGGGTGTAGGAAATAAGTTGGCTCATTGGATAGAAGAAAGCAGGGGGTTGTATAAATGGAATTCAGTGAAACTGGATTAATGTTACAAGTGGGGTACCTCAGTGCACAGTCTTAGACTTTTTTTCTTTTTTCTTTACATCAATGATATAAGTGGAGGAATGATCAATAAATTACATAAATTTGCTAATGACATTAAAGTTTTGGGTGTTGCTTGCTGTGAGGATGCTGCTGCTGCACTAAAGCATTTAGATCATTTGGTTAGTAGGGCAAATAAATGACAGATTACTTTTAATAATGACAATAAATGCAAGTTAATGCATGTGGGTTATCATAATTTCAATTAAAGTATAATTTTGATGGAAATTACCTTAACAGTTTTATGGAAGATAAAAGTTCTTTAGTGTTTTGATTGAACAGTCACTTAAGTCCTCCAAGCAGTTGCTATTGGTGGGGCAAATAGGATTTTAGATTGTATCTACAGAAATATTGAATACAAATATAAAAGGAAGGACATTGAATTCTTGGAAATTTTTCAGAAGAGGGATACTAGGATGATACCTGAGAGGGAAATGTTGTCACATAAGGACAGGTTAAGATCTCTGAAATTATTTTTTCTTGAAGAACTAAAAGTTAAAGGGTAATTTGATTGAGGTGTTTAAGATGGTTAAGAGAATTGATAGTATCAACTTACCTTTTTTTGTACTTAATGGTAGGACTAGAAGACACAAAAATAAGTTTTAGCAGGTTAGAAGTCATCTTCAGGTAAGACAGTTTTATTTTTCTAACAGGGTAGTTGAACTTCGGAATGGGTTGCCTTCAGATGTGGTGGAAGAATTTTTTTTAGATTGAGTTTAGTGAATGGGATGGCCTAGATGGACCAAAAGATCACATGGTGTCTTTAAATTTTTAGTAAATTTGTAATTTTAATGTGTGCTCAAAGTATTATTTTCTTTTTTTCAGTTTTTATATATCATGGCATTCAATTTATTTTCTCTGTGTACTGTCATAATTCTTTGAGAAACTCTTAAAACTGATTGAAGAAAGAATAAATAAATATTTAAATTAATGAAGTAAATAATTTGAACTTTTAAAAAATGGAAATTTTGTGAGATACTAAGCCATAACAGTATCTGCTAGAACTTTAGTGTTTATTTGTTCTGACCCTGCAGCCTTTTATGTTGTAGGTTTGCTGAACAAGTCACAGAAACTGCTACATTGTCCCAGAGAATTCAAGAACGTCGAGAAAAACGCAATGCTCCAAGTGTTTCTCCAAATTGGCAGGATGAACATGCAATAGCTGATCACTTTGATAAGGTTGACCACATCATTGACCTTCATGGACATATAATTGGGATGGGTTTGTCTCCTGATCATAGGTATGTCTTTAGTACATTTGCTTAAGAAGTATTTATAAAGAAACTAATGCATAATGGCAGTACTTGTTTTAACCCTCTTGCTACAGACAGGTTAAAGTGCACATATCATGACCTTTTAAAGAATTACATTCAAAATGAGTTAATAAACTCGATTTTAATACCATATATATATTTTAAGGAAATGTTTAAATAGATCCTCAAATTCCTCTTATATGAGAATCATGACATTTGTTGTCTAGGTCTTGCCCATTTTCTAACTTAATTACCACCCATCTTTGAAGTACAGAGTTTAACATAAGTTAACCATTATAATATAGATATTATTAAGGCAAAGTCTTTATAGTCTTCAATCTTCTTTGTTTATGGAGACAAAAACTAGAAAGTCAGACCCACTTGTCACTCCTACCTGTCACATCCTCTTTCACAAATTACCAGTAATACTTTCTGACGTTTGCTATTATATCCAATAGAAAGACAGAGTTTTAAGCTATCAAATGATGTATTATATTACTTTGTTTTCAGTACAGAGTATTGACTATTTTGTCTTCAGGTTGAAAGTTTGTCATGCAGCATTCAGATTGAGATGCTTAGGGATTTATATTAAGGCTGATATGCCATATCTAGAAAGCCGGTTATATCATAGTAGTTATAGGACAGTGTTTGCTTTGTTTGTGTTATTATTCTGGGTTTTTAGGTACATTATTTTAGTATAGAAAAATTACTCAGTATACTTGTACCATCAGTATAATAATAATTATCTGATATGGTACCTTACCACATCTCACATAATAGCTTTTCTCTTTCATTGCTGCCCTTTATATGCATAAATTTGTTGCTTGTTGCTAACCTCCTCCCTACTTTGACAACCTCTGTTGCCGGTGTATCATCCCAATGTCACTACACTTTGGCTTCATTCGTGGCTTTTGACAGATTCCTTGCAAGGCAGTCCACACACTCCACACAAGTATCTTCCATACTTTCCCATTCTGTTCATTCTTCCTCCTTAATGGTGTATCAGAGAAAATGACATTTTTGCTGGTGGTCTGTGCACCATGGTTACCTTCCTTCCTGTCCTACTGTTCCACATGTCTGTGACTTTTTTACCTGGCTGTTCAGCAGTGATTTTTCCGTGTGTACCATTGCTGGCTGTAGAGCAGCCTTGTCCAGTATATTCCATTTCTCCCATTCCAGTCTAGTGTTTTCCTCTCTAGTCCTCTCCCCTTTTGTCTCCATCATCCTTCTTATCCTATGCCCCTTTCAGATTGGGACCTTAATGTCGATCTCAGTGTCCTCACCCAACCTCCATTTGAACCCTTGGCTACCTATTCTTTATACCATTTGTTCCTCAAGACCTGTTATTGGTTCTTTTAGCCTGTGGTTGTTGTCAGTTGAATGTTTTTGCCCTCAATGTATTGTGTGTCTTTTATCACCATACCTATGTTCTCCTGTATAAGGATCACAATTTTTTTCCTAAGATGTCAGTCTTGTGAAGGTAACGTCACATTCACACCTATTTCTCTACCTTTCATTTCCCAGCTTTTTTCCATAGTTCCCAATTATCCATTGAAACCCTTCCTCTCAACGCAAGATTTCCCCTAACATTCTTATTGGATGGATTCACCAGCTTATCATATTGCTTTATTCTTCCTTGTCTTCCAATTCCTAATGTCTTTTCCAAGTGTCCTTTTTATCAGATTCAGCACCTTTCCCTGGCTGCCCATTTCCATCGCCATTGGAGGAAATCATTCAGGCCGACATGTGGACCGCACTGAACACCTGTGATGTGTCTGTCTCTTCCTCATCTGGATACTAAATACTGCCCGTTGCCATTCTCCTCACCTCTGTTCATCTGTGAGTGGGAAGTTTATATTTGTTTATTTCTCCTTCAGGGTCACTATTTTACATGATGGATCCCACTCTGTGGTGAGTGGTGCCTATCCAGGTATACTAATCCATAAATCTGCACTGTATGGTCTTTCAAGTCTATAATGCCCACTTTTGAGATGGATGTTTCACAAGACCACTAGTAGGTTCATCCTTGCGATATTTTGCATCATAACTATGTCCATCCCAGACTGTATCAACTCATGGACTATCATGAGTAAAGCAGTAGGATAACTACCCATCTTGGTTGAATAAATTGAGACTGACGTGCTTTTAAATATAGGGTTTTGTGATCACCCATTTCACTTTCTCCAGTGTTCCATTCCTCCAGACTCTCTCCTCAGCCCCCCCCCCCCTCAAATATAGTATGGGAGCCCTTACCACTCACTAGCTTTTAGCCACTGGGATGGTGGACTATGGAGACATCCTTCTGAATCTGCTGAATCCCATTCAGTTGAGAGTGTGGTGGTGTTTTGTTGGTGTAGATGGTATGAACCCTTTTCCTACCAAGTACCAAAAGAAAATCCCCAACACCACCTGGTTATGAACTGCAGATGATCCACCAAAATGCAGTTCACTCCTCTGGCTGGGACCTCTCGTTCTACATCTGTCTGGATGTCAGTTCTTGGGTGGTTTTGGATTAAAACTGGACCAGCCAACATAAGTCCTCATACACGTGGCTGGTAATGAGCCCTTGTCCTACTGCAAACTGGACGATACATTCCCAGTGCTGCCTGGTGTTGGATTTAGTGAACCACCAGGTTGCATTTCCCCTTTCTAGCATCGCTCAGTTGTCAGTTTCCTGGGTGGCCTGGTGTTGGTTGTGTACTGAGTGTGCAAATATGTCCTGACTAGGATGGCAGGATGACAGCCATTTTTCCTTCTGCTTCTTCGTTTTGAGGTGAAGACAATAGGGACCCTCCTATTATCACAGACCAAACAATAAATAACCAATTCCACCAGGTTTTGGATTGGAGTTGACTTACTGATTATGGTCTTATGTGCCCTAGTGACTTAACATCATTTGGCATATCCAAAGTACTGGATGTACTTCTTTTCTGCCTGATTTAGCAGTGTGTATTTTCACAATGGGCAAAGAGTATATCTTGTTCAGATGTAGTGTGATCTCCCACGAGTGTGTTCTTCTACAGAGAGATGTCACACTCCATGGGCTCTCTTCGGATGTATTCCAAAGGGTGCTCATCTAGGTAAATTTTGCACTAGTCCAAGGTTCTAGTTAACCTGAACTCCCGAGTCCAGTATGCATGAGAATTTGACAGGACACATAATATTTGACCCCTTGGGTACTGAATATGCACAGCAAAACACCCCATATGCAAGGCAAGCACAAGTACTTTGCTTCAAACTTTGTACCATAACAAACTAAACAGCATACAGTTTGCACACAGATATCCACAAACAACTTCTAACAGATTTCATCAATGACAAGGAATTGCACCAAAATAATGCCACATGATAGTACCACATGATTAACCCTTTCTCCTCTGGTAACTCAGAGTGTGCATGTCACAATTTTTCACAGAGTTACATTCAAGATTTAATTAAACTTCTTTATTATCAATGTATATGAATAAATTTGGCATCAGAACATAGATAATAAATCATAGTTTAGTATCATTTAAGGTTTAAGTTCTTAATTTTATAAGAAAATATTTTAAAAAATTCTCAACCTCCCCTGACATGAGAACTGTGATGTTTGTTATCTGTCTTTTTTTCTTCTGTAATATTTTTACCACCCCTCTAAGAAGTATGAAATTTAATATGAATTACTCATTATAATGTTTTCATCAGAACTTGCCAGTAGTTCTCTCTGGCTATATTATTTACAACCAATATAAACCCAAAGTTTTTCTCTATCAAATGACATATTATATTATGTTATTATCTGTTCAGAGAATTTTCCTTCTATTTCTATTTTCTTTCCAGTTCAAACTTTTATTTCCACTGGAAACGTATCGACTAGTTTAGTTGAATTTTTAACAGCTCTTGTCACACAGTTAGAAAACCAGGAAAATGTGATAGTTGTGGAACATTGTTTCCTTTTTGTATGTTACTATTTTGTGTTCCTTGGTGCATTATTTAATTAAATAGAAATTATTTAAAGCATTAGTACAATTAGTATTAAAAAAAGTACGATTAAGTTTCATCGACAGTCAAGAGCAAAAAAATAGACCCATATGGGTACTTTATTTCTTGTTTTTGATGTGTATTCTTTATTTATTATTGTAAAAGTAACTAAAAGGTTTAAAGTGAAAACTTTTTAGGTTAAATAAAGTAAAATAAATAATTGTATTAATAATAATAATTTTTTATGAGGTATGCTCATTAGTAGTTTGTTTGTTATGTAATTCGATACCATAATGTAAGCTGCACGTTCGCAATGTGATTTACAATCTATATGGTGTGAACAATAGTTAGACACTGCTCAGATAGCAGTAAAACAATAAATTAGATTACTGATACCAACTTTAAGCTACTTAGGATAGACAATTGTGGTTTTCTGTTACAATATGCAGTCATTTCAGAAAGAAAATAGAGAAAATTTCATAATTTTTTATGGTGGTTACGAGGTCGGTCAAATGAACCGACCTCATATAGAGTTAGGGTAAAATAAAATAATAGATAAAATATAAAGCTTTTCTGAAAAAAAAAAACATTTGATATTTATTTAGGAGGTTTTAGAGGTTTATTTGAAAATTTTCAGATGAAGAAAAGTATCTTTAATCTTATGAAAATTGCTTTGCACTCATATAAGAAAACAACATGTAGTGGAAATTGTAAATAAAGTTTTTCATAGGAACTAAATTTTTTTTTTTTTTTATTTATTATTATTATTATTATTAAATTCTACCTGTGGGACTAGTGAGAATCCTGTGGTTCCTCCACCAGTTCGGTGTGGGATTCTAGCTATCATATTGGAAGTTATAAATTTTCTAAACTGAAAGTGTACTTCCAATAGATACTTACCTCATCACTTCCAGTGCTTTTTTTTTCTTAATCTTCAAGTGAAGATTGGGTTCTACAGTATAGAGGGAGCCAGCTGTGTCAGGAGGGTATGTTGCACTCTTGTTGGTGGAGGGCTGTTGCATGCTTACTTGCATGCTACAGCACAGCTATACCATGTTAAACATGTGGTATGGGTGGGAGTATCAAAGATAGTGGTGAGGAAAAGTTTTCTGCATATAAAGGGCAGCACTGAACAAGAAAAGCTCTTATGTGAGGAGAGATAAGTATCTATAAGAAATTAATTTTCAGTTTAGGTATGCTTGCGAGTTGCTCATGCACTATGTCATTCAATGCAGTAACTTGAGCTATACATTCTCCAAGTGATCTACAATTTGCAGGGCAGTTCATTGGGCAATAAAACAAAAGAAATTAAGTATAAAAATATGTTAACTGTTACAATTTGCAGTCATTCTAGAAAGAAGTGGTAAATTAGATTTATTTCATATTTTTCATAGTGGTTAAATAGTTGGTCAAATTGATTGAGTCCATATAGAGCCAGAGTAGAGAAAATAACAGATAAAAATAAAAAGTTTAACTGAAAAAAAAGCATTTGCTAATTATTTAGGAGGTTACACAAATGAAATTGGAACATCAGATGAAGAAAATTATTTTTTTGTTTTGACATGAAAATCACTTTGCACTTGGAGCAGTAAACATTAAAAACAGTAAAACTTCTGATGTTTTGTATATAAAAGACTTGTAATGTTTACTGAAAGCGTGTCAAATATTATAAAGATACACTTACCATATTAAAAGTTATAGTATTGAAACCTGATGGTTATTTTAGGGTTACAAGGTCAATATAATCCACCAGCCCCATATGGAAAGAGTTTAAAGCAATAAGGAATAGAATTTACAAAACTGTGAAAAGTTAATTTCAGTAGATTATTTTAATTCTGGAGATTAAATGGTTTGTAAAAATGGAATTAGTGCTAGGAAAACAAACAAAAAATGGCCCCAAACTTAATAGTACAAAAAATGTAAAAACTATATTTTTAACGTAAACATCTTTTTTTTTGTAGGATCATTATTTGCACATCATTTTGGAATTTAGAAAAAAGATATCATTGCACTCGCATTATTCTTCAAAATATTAAACATAATGCAACAAGACCAGTTTAAGTTGTGGTATTTATGGTGGTACTTCATTTTTTGTGGTGTTATTAATTAGGGCATTTATAATTTGGAATGGTTTCTAAGAGCGTGCTATAGTGTATGCTTTAATGGTGAATAGCTTGCTTTACTACCCTAGCACTTAAAACAAAAACCCCATATATGCATGCTATATTTAAGTGTCTTTTCTCATTACCTTGTAAGTATGGATAATAGTTCAATATTCATTGAAAAAATCATAAAAGAAGTAAATTAGAGTATTTACCTGGAGTGTAAGTCATAGTTTTTTACCAAAAACTACAGCAAATGCTAGTTATACTTGGGTCCTTATAAAACCTCATGGCATATTCATTTTAGTGATGTCCAAACACCTGAAAAAGCTTTTACAAACTTCATTTTTGTGTGTATATATATGTTAAAAATTTATGTTTTAATACTGTAAGTATATAGAAGTTTAAGACTGGTGTTCAAATGTTGCTTGTTGATTGGCCAGAAGTTATTAGTTTTACCTAACTTACTGTCATACCAACACACAGCGAGCATTTCAGTTGTCAGCACATTTGAACATTATTTATTTGGTAGTACATCTGTGTAAAATTTGTCACATTCTTAGATTGTTCATTGTAGGATGATAAGATACTTTTACAGTTATGTATTTTATGTTGTTTGGTTTTTCTTTTCCAAGGAAAAAAAGTCATGATGTACATATGCTTTTTATTGCATAAAATCAAGTTAAATTCAACAAAGCTTCACAGCTGTATTTCTCTGTAAAATTGTAAACTCAAAAATTAAGCTCATTTTCTGAGTTTATAATTTTGTAAAATGCTTTAATTTTCTCTATCATTGTTTTTTAAGAGCTAATATATTGTAAAAAGGGCATCTTTTATCAATCTGTTATTTTAAAACAACTGGAAAGGAAAATAATTTTGCCTTATAATGAAGAAATGCACAATTAATGAAATTGGTGACAAAATCATTTTTTTTATATTCAATTCTACATTTCTTTAAGTGTAAAATAACCTTTAATACATTTTTGATATATATAAATGTAAGTTAATCAGACTTAAGACAACAAATGTAATTCAAAATAAATAAGACTTAACTAAAACACTATGGGGTAATCCATTCTCGTAACTGAACAAGCATGGTTCTCATAACACAATATAAAATCTATATATATATATAAAAGCCACTCTGTTCATAACACTACCTTTGGTGGTTACGTTTCACTTTCTGTTGGTAACACTTTCTCTGTTGGTAACATTCAAATTTGCTCGGTGGTTAGTCTCAAGTGGAAGTCTTGCAATCAAATCCCAGCTGATTGAGAATTTTTTATAACCTTTCTTAATTATTAACTCATCACATTTAGAGCAAGATCATATAATATTGAGAAAAACTAGAATAACATGATAGTTTAAATTAGGGATTTTAATTATTTTGTTAACATTCAGTTATAAAGACTGGATGTTAGAGTGGTGATAGCATGTAAGCCTCACTTTCAAATCCCAGCAGAGTTGGGATTTTATTTGAAACTTTTTTTATGTTTATATTTTAAGTATTTATTATCATATGTACAGCAAGCTCTTTAAAAATTTGGAAAAATATGAATACCATTATTGATTAAATTGGGTATTGTATATTACATATAAACACCATTGTGTGTGTCTGTTTCAAACACAACTTAAATATCTTTTCAACCCAATAGTTGGTGCTACTATACATTATTAATGATGTTTCTCAACTTAGGTAAGAGATTTTTAAAAACTTAGTCAAAAATTCTGTAAGCAATTTTTATGAACAGTTATACCTTCATGAATTTTCTCTTTACTTTAAAATTACTTGCCATCATCACACAATTAATAAATTGCAGACATTTGACCGTGTAGGAATATTTCTTAGAGAACCCATTTTTTGCATGGTTCAATCTATAAGGCTTTATCAAGAAGCAGATTTGGAAATAACATAAAAAATATATACAAGTTAACATTATTGTAAAAGACCACTTACAGGAGATGACCAAATATAAAAAAAAAATGTTTTTATGAAATAATAGCAAAGGGATACACATTCTTTATACGTGTATTGTTACTATAATATAATTAATTGTTAGGAAACGTGTTCATAAAACATTAATTTAGATTTAATTTTTAGAAGAAAAATTAATCACCATTTACTGTTATATGATGGGCATTCAGGTAGTAGCTACTAATTAACTCTGTACAGGGGCTCGGTCATTTTGACTGATCTTGTAACAAACATGTAACAGAAACTATACATACAATAAATCTGAATTTACTAAGTGTATTATCAGAAAATTTAGCAAGCTTTTAGTAAATGTTACAAGTCTATTTTAACTAAAGTTTTGTCTGGATTTATGAAGCCTTTTCCGAGTCAGTCTAAGTGCAAGGTGATTTTCATATTAAGAATAAAAATGCATTTTTTTTATTATGTAGTTTTATATTTCATTTACATAACCTTTAGAACCTCCTAAATGAATACCAAAAATTATTTTCAGTAAAACATTGTTTTATCTGTTATTTTCTCTACCTTAAACCTAATTACAGGCTTGGTCAACTTGGACAGCCTTTTAACCACCACATAAAACACAAAATATGAAATAAATAAGTCTTAAATTATCCTCATTTTTTCTAGAATGACTGAATATTGTAACAAATACACTAGTTATTCTTACGACCAAAACTAGTAGATTTTTCACTGTTTTATTTCTTTACAGTTACATTTAAAATCCTCTCAGAGTATGGTCAAAGTTATTTATCATGTTGTAAAGCTTTGTGTAAGACACATGCTGAATTGCAATATTGTGCCTCATGAAGTGTATGTGCTATTATTATAAGTAATTTGATTATTTAATTTTTTATCTAACCTAATAAGTTTCTAATTTTCAAGTTTTTGTGTTTGTAGGCATAAGAAAGAATCAGTCAAAGAATATTAAGCCTAATTTTTTGTAAGGTTTTTGATATGGGCAATTTACAATACAAATTATAGCCAAGCACAAAATATAGAATGTGCTAAAACTACTATAATTTAATTGACTTTCTGACTAAGCATTAAATAAGGTAAATAATTTTGATAGTTGGTCAAGCAAAGCTTCAACACTGGCAAACAGTGAACCTGGTGGCAAATTTTTCAAAACTGGATATCTCAAAGGCTCCTAGCTTCATCTTACACCATAAACTCCAATCTTCTCTCTGTTTGTTAGAAATAATCTAGGAGTAAATGTCAGAGTGCATTATTGACATTTTTTGAAAAACAGGATGTTCTAGGAGGGGTGGGTGTGACATGTGGGTTTCACTTTTTTGAATATATCTTAGTAAATCAAGAAGCGTAGAGGCTATAAATGTACATTTTAGCTCAGGGATATCTATAGTGTAATTTGTGGGAAACTTAAAAGAAAGTGGAAGCAGAATTAAAAGAAAAAAACTGACCCACAGATTGTCTTTAATAGTTCAGGAGTACAGTTTAATCATTTTCTTAAAATTTTGTTGCATTTTCTGCAATGAAATATTTAGTGCCACATTTTTCCAAGCACAACGAGCTAAAAAACTTAACAATAAACTATTGTATTTTTTGTAGGTATTTATATGTTAATAGCCGCCCTTGGCCCCAAAACTATGTTATTGAGCAACCCTTGTTTCCGCCACCAATTGCCCAAGAAATTGACATTCATGTGATAGACCTTGTGACCTTAAAGGAAGTAGGAACAATGCTGAGATCTCACAAAGCTTATACTCCAAATGATGAGTGCTTTTTTATTTTTCTGGATGTGAGTCAGCAGTATGTTGCCAGGTAATGTTATTTTTGGATTTGAAATGTACATAGATGTGTGTATATTTATTTATTATTATTACAGTGTGTATTTGTTAGACCTACAATGGAATTAAACTTTCTCATCCTAATTACTATACTATAAGTAAAAAACAAGTTACCATTTGCATTTGTTTTAAGTTAGTGTATATTTGTTAGCTCAGATAAAGACAAGTGAATAAAATATAATTTCCATTGATAATAGATATCTGGTGTTATGATATTAGATTATTTTGTTCCTTCACTCATGCTATGGCAGAGATAGGTTTTTTGAATATTTATATTCAAATGGGGATTATTTGCTCATATATATTTACCTTGAATGTAGGTTGTGTCATAACAAAGGTTTGAAAAATTGTAACAATAAATGGAATATTTGCCAGAAAGTAAAAAGAGTTTGGTCTTTTCCAGCTTTCTGTAATTTACCTACTTGTTGTATAAATGGTTCTGACACAACTTGTGAAATTGTGATATTTTCAAGTACTGAATGATTATGGTTCCTAAATTTGTTCTTACACAAGCTTTTGTTTATCGTGAATGACCATGTAACTAGCTGTAGTAATAAAATTCTGATATTTAGCTCTTTCAGCATGGGCTCGGTTTCTGGGACCAACCTCGTAACCATTTTGTGCTTGCTATAACTTTTAAATTAATAAGCTTATGTTAACGAAATTTTGCAGATTATCAGTAAACATTACAGTGCTTTAATACGCAAAATATAATTTTTTTTTTTATTAAGTCTTAACGGTTTGTAAAGCAATGTTT